CAATGAAGGGTTGTCGCATATTCTACAATCTTCCTTTAAAAAATTATAAGTTGCTATGAATCAGCTAAAAAAAACGCATTTTTTTGATTTTTATGATGTTTATAACTTTTTAAGGAAAGTATATAGGAAATACAGAAATCACTCATATTTTGTGCTCTTTAAGATAATACTCTGTAAACTAATTTTTACACATTTTTCTTGGATTTGAAAATTATCGTGTTTGATTTTTCAGAAACCTTCGTCTCATAATTCATCTATGCAATGTCGGCATGGAATGCATCTGAAAAAAAAACTTCATTGGTTATTTAAACCACTATTTGAATTTAAGTTGCATGCTTGCTATCGTAAAAAAATCAAAAATGCGTTGGTCTTTTATTTGTAATCAATACTCTATGTAAAATCTTTTCTTAAAAATATAAACCTTATTAATTTTGATAAATTTTTATCTTATTACAGAATTTCTATTTCAGACACTCAATAGCTTAATTGAAGATTTTTTCAATAGAATATTCAGAGTGAAATTTTTATGGTTTTAAAAAGTTGAAATATATATAATCATACTCGAGTAGGAGTTGGTGGTGGTGTTTTTTGGACAGTTTTTGAAGGTTTTGCTGATGATTGACCACGTGTTCTTCGATTTATTGGTGATGATAATTCTTCTTTATCTTCTTCTTTGTCTTCGTCGTCTTCTTCTTCTTCTTCTTTTTCATCTTCTTTCTCTTCTTCTTCTTCTTCTTCTTCCGCTTCTACTTCTTCGTTATCACTTTTAACATTACGATTTTTTGTTTTTGTTTTTTGTGAACTAGGTTGTTTTCGTTTTTTATTGCCTTTTGATTTTCCTGATAATGAACGTGATTGTGGTAAAGATCGTTTTTGTGGAATAATTGTTTTTGGAACTACATTGGAACGTGATGATCTTGATTTTGAATTCTAAAATTTTAATTTTAATATAAAAATCAACATGTTTACAGAAAAACAAAAAATTAATATTTACAGCAACAGCTGTAGTTGAAGAAATTTCTCCATTAGAAATTCGTTTATTTGTTCCCGATGATCGAGTTGTTAATGATGATGATGATGATGATGATGTTGGCGGTGGTGAAGTTACTTTACCTGATGTTCGATTTTGAGTATTTGTTGCTTGTGGTTTTTGTTTTAATTCACCTTCAGGTATAATTTCAAGTTTTTCACTTGTTGAACAACTAAAATACATATTTTTTTTTTAAATAATAGATGTTCTTTTTTATTAAATTCTATTATAAAAATTTTACATACGTATTATTCATAACATCAGTATTATCTGAACATCGCCATGCTTCAAGCTGTGCTTGTGTTAATGCTGGAGTATTACTAGCATAAGGTAAACGACGCCATTTTAAACATTTATCACATTGTATAAGCATTGGTACAGCTGCTTGACGTCGTTTAACAACTTCAGGATCATTTGATGGTGGTCGATCAAGTTGATCATCTCGATAACCTAGAAAATATTTTAAAAAATATGAAGAAATAAAATTAGTATCAAAAAAAAAAATTTCTTTACCATAAGTTTCCCAAAATTCTTTAACATAATTTTCAATACCAGCATCAGACCAGTATTGTCGCATATATTCACCCATATTTTTCAATAAAAAATGATATTCTTTTTCATCAGCAAATGATTGTTTATTATGCGTTGGTTCAAGTACTATAGATGGAATATCAACAACACCAACAACACCACGACAATATCTATTATAGAAAAATAAATAATTGAATTTAACCAAAAAGAAACATAGGAAACTTTGATTATTCAGATTCTCTGTGATTTTAGACTCATAGATCGACAATTGAAGATTGGAAAAATAAACCAAACCAGACTTTTTCATTATTCATCAAGATCGATTGAATAGCAGTAGTCATACTCAATTGAAAAATGATTTGACAATTGTGAATGTCTTTTTGTGAGACTAATTAACATATATATTCTTTTTATTTTCTCATACAAACTAAAACTACGTGTAAATAGATCGATGGAATCGATAATTAGTTTTTTACAATGCAAAATCTTGTATTTTTAGATAACATAATGACACTCTTCTATATCACTAACTAATTGAGTTATTTCTGTCTTTTATTTTGTGGCTAAGTGCAAATGTCATACAACATAGAACACATTAACTTACACAGTCTTTTTATTAGGTTGTCCAAGTTTTTCATACATTTTAATAAGTCTACCACAATTATAAACAAAAACTCCATCAGATGCTCGATTTTGAATATTTAAACCAAAAATAAAAGTTAATGTTTTTGTTGTATTCATTTCAGATTTTTTTCTTGCAAGACCATTACGTAAACGTGTTGTCATATCTTTTAATTCGGCTGCAGTAACTTGTAATTTTCGTAAACGTGAACGTTCTTCAATTGATGTTGTTACACCAATGGACTGTTGAAGATGATGAACTTGTGAATCAGCTTCACGTTTACGTTCTTCTAATGAATCAAGTTCTTTTTCACATTTTTTAATTTCTTGTTCTGAACGTGTTTTAAAACGTGTAGATTTAAATTGATATTGTCGAGGTTTATATAATGTATGTGGTAATCTTTTTGTTATAACACGTCGTCGTTGTATTGCTATACGCATACGTGGTTCATAATAAAGTATAGAAACATAAGCACGAAGTGAACGATATTCAAAAGGAATGCTACAAGACAAAAACAAATGACGATGAAAGGCTTTTGTTTTCTTTTGAATTAAACAAAACAAAAATAAATATTTACTTCTCATCATCATCATCAAATAAATTTCGTCGATTTTTCGAATCAATTAACATATCATATGGATCTGTTTTAATATCAAGTTCAGGTTCACCAGTATCAGATAATTTAACATTATATAAAACAATTAATGTTCCGCTTGATGATGTTATTAAATTAAATTGTTTAAATAAATCATCTATTGTTTTAAATGGTGAATATTTTTTTATTAAACGCATTTCAAGTTCATGTTTCGCTTTATCAAAGGTATATGTACGTGTACCATTTAATTGTTGATAATCTGTATTTTGAATTGGTTGTTGTGTACGTAAATCAAAACATGGCATTGGACATATGACTTGTGAAATATGTTCTTCTTGATGAAATGAACGTGAAAGAAATAAACATGTACCAATATTATCTTTTTTTGTAAATAATATAAAATCATTTGCAATACGCATAGCACCTGATTTTAAACCATTCCCATATTGACCAATTTGATTGGAATCTGGTGCATGACGTTTAGCTGATTTACCAAAGACGATTACATTGAATACATCGTCTAAGAAATAGAAAAATTATGAATAAGAATTGTTATATATTCCCTACTTAAAATAACAATGAAATTAAAATATTATATCATATAAAATTAATTACATGATACTTGAAGAATTTTTCTTTATTTTAATAAACTTACCATAATGCATTCCACAACCATCATCCAAAAAAGCCAAATAAAAACCTCCACGTAAAGATGGATCTTTACATGTATAAATATCAAGATTTCTTGCACCAGCGTCACGTGAATTATCAACTAATTCAGCTAATGCTCCAAAAAGAAATGTATGTGTTGTTGAATTTGTATGCAAATATTCAAAGCTCAATTGAGCTTTATTTAAACAATCGTATTGTTCCATTATTTCATGATTATAATTATCAAAAAACAGAAAAGAAAAGCAGAAATAAAAATCAAAAAAAAAAAGAGGAATGATAATATGTCATGATTAAACAAAATATAAAGACATAAAATATTTTGACAAATATATATATATATATATGTGTGTATGAACAAAATTCATTCAAAAAACATTAAGTAATTATAAAAGAAAGCAAGAACATCAAAATGAACGAAGAAAAGACAAAGACGATTCAGTGTAATTAATCCAGATCGAATGCATAAGTTGCTTTTTTATGCATAATTAATTGATTGTCAACAAAATAAAAACTATCAGATTTTGTTTCATATGGATGTTCAATCATTTCTTTGACTAGAATAAATAAATAAATAAATGAATATATATATATATATAAGAAAAATTCAAAAGAATTATTTACTCTGTTTAGAATCCATAGTAGGCATATCATAGATATGTTCAATTGAATTTGTTGAATTTGGTGGACAAAAACCAAAATCAAAATCAAATGATTTAATAAGTTGATCACGAAAAAAATGACGTTCAATCATTCGAAAAGATTTTACTTCACGATCACCAACTTTAAAACCAACTCTGAAACGAAAATAAATAAATAACGTTTATTGATTCTGTAAGAAAAATTATTATATTGGTTGCTAAGAGGAAAGAGATTGATTTTGTTTAAAATGATCTTATTATTATACAGTATGAAGTCATATTTGATTATGTCAAGTTTCGAAAGCAAATATCAACATAGAGGTTGCTAAATGTTTTTAGTTCAACTGGATAAAACAAAGATCAATTTATTATTTAACATATGTTCTTCTCATTTGTATTAAAATTGATAATATAAAAAAAATGATAATTAAATATATTGACATAATGATTCAATTTTTTCATTGAAATATACATATGGTAAAGATTTCGAAAGTCATTCTTAGTTTTAAATATATTTCAAGGAATAGTACTACATAAACTATTGATGTTATAATGAGAACAAATTCATGAGGGGAATCTATATTCACTTGTAATCTTTTATTCATTTACTGTCAAGAAACAGTTTAATACTTTCAGAAAATAAATAAGACGAATCAAGATGTCAACTATGAGAGGTCTATTAGAATGTCTAAATTTTCCGAATAGGAAATACGAAATCTCAGATAGTTTCATCCCTCCAAAGGATATTATTGATTAATTATATGAAAGAGAAAACAGAGACCGCCACAGAACACATGCTTTTCAGGCCTTGCAGGTAGACCCCATCGGGTCCACGGATTTTTGTACCCAGCCGGTAAAATTTGTTGGACTCAGATACGATAGGTTCTACCTGCAGGACATCCCAGTCACTTAATTGATCATGATCCAATGGAGCTCGTCATGATATTACATTATTATCAATCGTAGCCTGAAGAGTACATGCCAGACCAATCACTAATGCTTCGCTGGAAAGATTATTCAGTTCAATTTGATTGGCATTGATTCGAAGATGAACACGTTTGTCATCAAGTCAAATCGATAACATATTATTTATTCATTCTTACCAGAAATTCAAGAAAAAATAATAAAAAAGAAAAATTTATCCTCTGTCGTTGTTTATATGTTTATATTAACTGCATTTGGAATTCTGTATTTATATGTTGGTTTTATTCACTTTATGGATGTGTATTATTGTCTATGTCATTTCTGTTGAAAAACATATGATAAAGTGTATTGGCATGATTATTGTAAATGATGTTTGTATAAATAGTACGTCTTTGATATTTGACATCATACTCCATATGCGGACAAGTTTTTATTCTTGTCGAAAATGCAATGAGAAGGTCTCCCTACAAACTGAACGCAAGATAGTACTGAGTTCTGCCTGGACGCACGTTTTGATGTTTTGTCCTGTGAAATAGAACGATTGAATGACTAATTAGAAAATTAACATTCAAAAATCGATCTATCAAACAGAGAATTAAATATGATTCCAATCGAATAAAACTTAAATGTTTCGAATGCATAGAAAAATTCTTTCATTTTATTATACTTACAAAGCGCCAACTTGTTTAAGTTTAAGAAATGATGGTGGAAACCGATATTGAACAAAACGACCAGCTGATGAATCCATTTCATCCATTGCCTCATCATCATCTAATATATAAATTATAATTAAATTAAAAAAACAAACAAATCAAATAAATACATACCAGGTTCTCGTTGAACTTCAAATAGAACCTTATTTGTTTTCATATCACGAATTCGAAAATGAATAAAATCAATTTTATATACATTATCATCTGTTTCTATTAAATAATCTAAAATAGATATACATTTTCTCGAAATTTTGATGAAAACTCTTCATTTTTTGAAATACCTTTCGTAGATTTTTTTAAACGAAGTACATCGCTTACATTAATAGGTGTTTCTTTTTGCTTTAAATCTTCTTCAGTAATTGGTGTATCATTAGTAGGTGATTTTCCATCAGTTTTTGGATCTTCTGAATTTATTTTCGATGATGATGCTGCTTTTGTTGCCATGGAAATAAATTCTAAACGAGAAGGATAAAGCAATAACTTCCGTTTTTTTTTCTTACAAGCCATAAATTTCTTTTTTTTTCCTTTAAAAGCAAAAAAAAAGAACGTGAACTGTACAATACGGTATATACAAAGGAAGAATATACACGAAAACAACGACGAAAAAGAACAAAAAAAAACAAAAAAGCCGATAAAAAGTCTTTCGATTATTCATAGACACAAAAAAACTGTCGACCATTCTGTTTCATATATTAAACGTTTGAAAGAAAAGAACAAATAATGAAATAAATAGTATTTTTGTTTTCAAAGACGATAAATAAAGGAAAAAGAAAAAGAAAACGAAGAACGAACAATTAATCGTAGCAACACATTATATAATAAATATGTGTACCAATAAAATTACACAACAAAAAAAATGGATAGAAATACAAAGACGAAAAAAAAAGAAAAAGAGAAAAGGTTGTTAAGGTGTTTTGTTATTTTTGTTTAATGATCAGTCGAAGATTCAGATCTTGCAGTTAAAATTCGCACCGGCCTAGAAGAAATAAAATTATTAATTATTTCTATTGTAATCATTTATTCAAAAAATAAAATATGATTTTATCTTAAAGATTATTTATTTACTTGGTATTAATAACAGCACGAAAAGAAAAAGATTTATAATGAAGAAAATTTTGTATAAAAGATATAGAATAAAAAACAAAAAGTAAGAAGTGTTTAGAAAATTCTACTAAACAAAATAAATTTTACACGAGAGATCATAAAAGTAAAAAAAGAAAAATTCTTCGAATCTTATGTCAAAATTAATTAGACCCAACAGAAAGTGAATCGTGTTTCGCTATGTAAAATACCTCCTATACACTTTTATTCGCAAAGATTCTAATAATATTTATTGCGTCAAAACAATTGTGAACAGACTAAAGGTGTTTACGAGGTGATTCTTTTGACCCTACCTTGCTTTACCTTGCCCTAATCGGTCTTCAGGATAAGGCAGGTCACGAGTACCCTACTGATTTGACATACTATCTATATTATAATTTCCAATGTAGTTCAAAAGACAAAATATTTTTCTCATTTTATCATAGAACATTGTTTTATTTAAATCCATTGAACAATAATAGTAACTCATAGTTCAACTAATAATAGAACTTCGTTTGAAAAAATATTTAAAAAGAAAAGCAATAGAAAGTAAGCTAACCGCTATGAATCAGAATAAAACCAACAAAAAAAAAATACACAATTTATTTCTTATATATTTTTATGCTGATTTTACTAATAAAATATTTTCTAAATTATCTAGTTAAAGATTTGTTCTTATTTCGTTTAGGATCCAACTAGTAGTGGAAAATTCTCTTTCTACATTCGTTGTTGTTGCAAGAATTGATAAGATCGATTGAGGATATTTCGAAAGAAATGCAAAATTTTTTTTATAATAATTTTTAAAAAATCTAAAGGTTCTATTGCTTTGTTTTCTTAACAAATTCAAATAAGGGACATTGATCAAGTTCATTACCTTTTCTAATGCTATAATTATATTCTTCACTTTCTGAAAGCATCGATTTACATGTTTGACAAAGTACTTTGTTCCATTTTGCAGACTCATAACGAAACGTACGATAATATTCGAAACAGCTAATGAAATCATTAATGCTTTCAAAATCATTCTTTTTATTTTTAACAAATACATATCCAAAAGAACACCATCAAGGTGCAAATACTTTTGTTGAACCATTAGTTTCAAGACTAACTTTAATAGTAATTTCTGTTCATTCGGACGTCGATCTATAGAGGAAAACTTTTTTGATTTTCGACTCTCAAAGACTGATAAAAACTCTCTTTTTCAGTATCAAAATTCGAATACCTGGTTTTTCAGGTTGTAAGGTACAAGATCTTACGCTACCCTGTAGAGACCTCTACTGTGAACACATCTTATATGAAATAATTATAGGGTTAAAAACAAACATACTCAGTTTTGCAATATTATTTCTACGCTTCTACAATTTAAATGTTCTACTATAACTGAAGATGAGAAATTCATTGAATATGAAATCTATACTAGAATACTGTCGCTTACAGATATGCGGGCTCAATTGTTTTGATTCCAATCCCAATCTACAGAAAATTATTCCAGAATTTATTCATGTCACATCTGAAATTATTATTCATTATTTGTTTTTTTTGTGATTTATTTAATGGACGACTAGCACTTCTTTTGGGTCATTTCTCTTGAATTATGTTCTGATTCATAAAATAATTTGGTTAAAACCATAGAATATTTTTATTGTAAACTTGAGTTTCGGCCCGACAAATTTTTTTCTTGTAGTCTATCCTTCTTTATTATTTGGTACTTTATTTCTCATTGTGAAACCAAAATTTGTTAATAGTTTAAATATATTTTTGTAACTATTGAAACTCCTATCTATGGCGTATAAACGAAAACAAATTCAAATAATGAAATAATAAAATTCATACGGTTGGTTCCCTTATGCAAAAAATATGGGGATATTGTTATTGTAAGGATATTTTAATAATAGTAGAAATTTAGCAATAATTCAAAATGAATTATATGTTTAATTGAGTTGTGAACGTCTAGAAACATAGTCTAAATAGTTCAGATTATAATACAATTTCGTTATTGAATTGTTACAAAAGAAAACGTAATCTAGCAAATATGATTTTGTTTCGAGATGAATTTCTTTTTTGTCTTCACCTACGATGGAATGTATTCAAAATAAAAATAGTTCTATTGAGTAGCATTTTTTTTCCAGCTCTATCTATTGCCAAGGATATTGATTCAAAAACTAAATCTTATATAAGTGTAGAAATTACATTTCATAAGGGAATAAGGTTTTTTTTTGCGACCCTGTAAGAACAATGTTTAAGTCCATTTGAAGAAAAAAAGTTAATTGTTGTCAGAAAAATCGAAATTGAAATAAATGCATGGGAAGATAGCCCGACGTCTAATCCTATCCCTTTTTTGAATTAAGCATTGTTATTATTACGTAAAAGAGTACTTTTTTAATTAGAGCGTCATTTTTTTCTTGGATACATTGAACTTTTCATCCCTCTTTTCTCCTTAAAAAAGTAAGTATTAAAAACTAAAAACTCTGTCGTACTCTGCCTCCTGACATACTCTTTCAAACAAAAAAGAATTTAAGTATATAGAATGACGGCTCACAGAAAATTTCGAGTTGTTAAATGATCTATTCTTGTTTGTTGAATATTTCCTTTGAACGTCATGGTATAAGAGTGAAAATTTGATGCAATTTGAATATATCTACTCCTTATCTGAAATGTTAGTTAATGCACATACTTGGTAACACTACTTGTCGATTCATTTGATGTAGTCGATGTCGTACGAGAAAGATGTTGTTCTTTTTCAACTATTTCTTCAATATGTTTATTTAATTCAGCCAATTTCGGATCATGTTCATCACGTGGTTTACCTATTTTTACAAATCACTATAATCAAAACTCAAAAATCTCTTATTTTTTATTTACCACATCCAAATATACTGGCATTTCGTGTTGATGGTTCTACGGATGATTTATCATCTGATGATGATGAAACTTTTTGTGAACGCGGTAATAAATTTAAACGTGGTCGATTTTCTATATCAGAACAAAAAAATAAATGACTTGAAATAATTTATTTTTCTCTTATTATTATTATTATACCAGATGATATTGTACTCATATCGGTATCATGTAAACTATTATCATTAGTTGTTGATGTTAAACATTTTCCATCTCTATTCGATTGTTCATCTCTATAATTTCGATTATTAAAATTTGATTTTTGTCGAGATCCTAATGATGTTTGATTTCGATCATGATGATATGATAAACCTATATGAACAGGTGGCAATTGTATTTGAGAATTATGATGATGATGATAATATTGTTGAGATTGATTTGGATATGATGATGATGATGACATTTGATCATAATATCGACGTTCATCATTTGATATTTGTGATGATTGTAATCCACGAGAATTACGTCCACGTATTGATTGATTACCCATTAAACGTGAAGGTGTAGGTAATTTTGACGTTTTATCACAAACAAACTATAGAAATTATATTCATTTTGTTGTGTTTTTTTTTAAATCGAAAAAGAAAACCGAAGAACACAAAGTTCATACTTGAATATCATCAACATCATCACTAGTTAAAATATTCTTAACATTTGATGATGATGATGTTTCAACAACAGAATCATCAATAGGACAATCAGCCCAATTTCGTGTTTGTTGTTTTGTCATGCTTGTAAGATCTTGTTTAATATTATTATGTTCATAATTTTCATTGTCATTTGATGTTAGTAAATCGGATGTAATAAAAACATCATCAGATACTTTACGTGATGTTGATGATGGTTGTTCTTTATCTACTTGAGACTTTCGTTCATTTGAATTGTTTTGATCATAATAATCTAAATAGACCAAAAAGAAAAAGAAAAACTTCTAGATCATATTAAAAACTAATGAAGAAGTAATTTATTAGAAAATACTATTTTTTTTAATTTCTATTTCAACAATTATATCTAGTAAACTATTAGAGCAATTTATTGTTATATAACATATTAATCTTAATGCATCGAGAATGGATGAGTGAAAGAATAGAAAAGAGATTCTCATTCACACTCGCGATGAATTGTTCAATCACTTATTATTTAGAAAAAAATTTCTTCGTACCATCATTATATCCATTTCCATAACAACCATCATCAATATCTTGAGAAATTTTTTGTTTATTATGATCTTGTCCATCATGACGAAATCCACCACCGGATCGATTGTTATTATTATTATTTTGGCCTGATGATTGCTGACGAGGACTATTGCGTGATTCAAAACCAGCTGAATAATAAAAAGAAAATCAAATAATCTTTCATATAAATGATGATGATGATGATGATAATAGAATTTACATTTATTTCGAAAGCCTTCTGATTTAGTTGCACCAAGTGTTCGACTGGCAACATCAATTCGAATAGGCTGATCATTAACACACTAAAATAGATCGCAAAAAAAAGTCTTTTTTTATGTATTTATTGTTTTTTCCATCATTATTATGTACCGTTCCATCCAATGCAATGGCACTACGTAATGAATCAGCATCCTCAAAATCAACATAGGCAAAGCCTTTTAATTAATTAAAACAAAAACAAAACAAAACAAAATGTTAGTATTTAATTTTAAATCAAGCGTCAATTCATTAAAAACAAAAAAGAAAAGCAATCAACTATAAATAGAATACCTCGAAATCGATCAGTTTGTCGATCACGTATTAATCGAACTTGTTTTACTTTAAGACCAACAAATAAATGATGTTCAAAATCACCTTGTACCATTGTATCTGGTGCATTACCAATATAAGCTGTATACGGAGGTTCACTTGGTATTACATGATTACGTGCAGGACCACTTCGTTTATTATTTCTATTTTGATATCTAAAGAAATTTATTTCAATCATAGCTCTCGAATGTGGGAGGAACTGGGAATGTGGACACCACCCCTCTCCTCGCCCACTTTTCATATCGTGTCTGCAAAAATTTCAAGCTATCTGTCAAACTTTTAGTCCCTTCCACTTCTAAAAACTATCGAGGCTTCTGATTTTAATATTGAAATTTTTTAGATATAAAACAAAAGAAAAATTAATCTTTCGTATAAAAACTCTTTTTTTTTTGGAAAATCTATTCTATTACATACCCATAATGATTATAATTACCACCGTGATTTCGTCTTAAATCTCTGCCGTGCATAGAGATAATAATAAACTATGTGTAAGATGTTTTGTTTTGTTGTTTTGGTTTGTGTCTATATTAAGACCCAAACTAAATTGTGTTCGGGTCTAAATGTAATGAAATAAAAGAAAAATGATATTTCTAAAAAAAAAACAAAACCAAAACAAGAAATGAACAATCATAAAAGGAACCATTATAAAAAATGTTTTATGCCTTGTTTCATATGTTGTACATTTTTTGTTTGTTTCATGTTCACGTTCAAAAAAAAGAGGACATCTAAACAATCCAACAGAAAAGTATGACGGAAAAAAAAGAAAGCTTGGATTTACATTAAAAGAAAAAAAAAAGAATGACAATGATGCGTTTGTATGTTGATGTATATGTGTGTGTGTTATGTTTTTCTTTTGTTTTCTGTGCGACAAAAAGAATAGTGCAAACTTAATATAAAAAAGAAAAAGAAAGAAAACACGCTCAACAACAACAAGACCATATAAGTTAGAGGATATAAGAAACTGGATAAGGAAAGAAAGGGCTGTGCCCAGTGTGAAAGAGAATAAAGAAAAGATCAAATCACAGTTACAAGTTAGAGACACTCTCACACACGTTAGTAGTTTCATCAGCAATAATAAAAAGAAAAAAGAAGAAGAAGAAAAAAAATCAACACAATTTATGTGCTGTTCAATATTTATTGAAATGGACGTTGTTGGCTTTGTTGATTATTATAAACATTGCCACTAGCACGTTGTTGTTGAGCTTGTTGTTGTTGTTGTTTATTCACACCTTGATGTTGGCTAACTGATTGTGGTGGAACTTGTTGAGGTTGTGTTGATACGGCATACATATAATGTGCTTCTTTATTTGATGATGATGATGAACTACGACCATAATAATCATCATTACTACCAATATTTGATGATGAATTATTTTGATTATATTGTTGACCTTGTTGTTTAGAAGCTTGTTGTTGTTGAGCCATAGCTGTTGCTGGTTGAGCATACATTATTTGAGGACCTAATGAAAACAAAAAAAAACGAAAAGATATTTTTTTATTAGAAGAAATACACAGGTCTATGAGAATTGATCGCAACATTTTGTAAAACAAGTCTTATTAGTATTATAGAGAAGTAACTGCGAGAGATTCAAAAAATCATTAATAATCTATTTAAGGATAAGGAACATAAAAAATGAGTATAAATATGAATGTTTAGTAAAATTGTCTAATTCTGTATGGAATGTTATATGAGAACCACTAGTAGTAACTTCTACACGCTGCGCTCTTCGCTATTCTACAATGAACATATTTTTCATTTTCGTGTAATATTTCGATATATTCAAAAAGTGAATGTCAACGTTCAGTTACTGTTTTACCGGTGAGATCATCTACTTATACATTCCATGGAGTACATCTTCATTTTTTCTGTGCCATCCTCACCTTCATACTGTGCTATGTATGGGATTGAATCACTTGTGTGTAAGTTAAGGTTTGTGGGAAGTGACTATTGGTCGCTTTCACGAAATATATATATATATATATATGTATATATACGTACCAGGTGAATAACTTGGTCCACTAGCTGAATGTCCAAGAAAATAATTTAATTGAGCTGGTGAATGTGCTGCTTGTGGACCTTGTTGTTGACTGTTCGATTGTTGAATAGCATATTGTTGATACTGTTGTAATAATAAAAGATTTTCATTAATTGGAGCTCGATAACTAAGACAAAAAAAAAAATAGAAAATCTTAATTGTTTATTTTCTTTTTTAATATATACTTCATTGTTTTATTATCATTATTATTATGTGTTTGATTTTGTTGTTGAACAGGTGGTGTTACTGAACCATATGTACCTGATGGTGATTGTGTTTGTTGTGCATTAGTTAATTGCATAAATGGATTTGTAAATAAATGTTCAGCATCATATGGTGTTGAATAAGTTGTTGCACCTGTTTGTTGTTGTCCACCAACTGATGGTGGAACTCCATATGTTGTTGAATAAGCTGTTGAATATGCTGGTTGTGTTGGTGGTGCTGTCGAAAGAAACATACCTGGTGGAACAGCTGGTCCTTTTTTTGGACCCGTAGATGATGTTGTTGATGTTGATGAAGGTGGTACAGATGATGATGATGATGTTAATGGTGGTGTTTGTACATTTGTAGATGTTTGTTGTCGATTTGATGATATTTGTTGTTGTGGTGGAGCTGCTTGTGAAACAAGATAACGTGGTTGAGTTTGTTGTGGTGGTGGCGGTTGTTGATTCATTGTTGCTGCCATAAAATATGATGCATTAAAATCAATTGATGGTAATTGAAATGGTGTTGGATCATATGAAGTATCCAATGGCACTGGCTATTACAAAAACAAAAGAAAAAGAAAACGAATAGAATCATTTGTTTATTGATTTTTGTTTTTGAATCTGTACCTCTTGTTGTTGTTGATGATGAAAAAGTATAGATTGTAAAAGTAAATTTGGTGGATTCATTTGATGTTGTTGATGATGTACAGCATATTGTTGTGGTACAACAGGTTTCATTGTCATTGATGGTTGTTGTTGAATTTGTGGTGGTAATATACGTTGTTGATTTATCATCGGTTGTTGTTGTTGTTCGGATGGACGAATTGAATTAGTATTTGGTGTTGGTGAAACAAAAGAAGATTGTTCAGTTGATTGATGTTGTACCGTTGTTGATCGTTGAGGATTTTGAACTGATGATGAACCAGTCTTTTGTTTTGTTACTGATGTTATTGGTTCAGTATGTGAATAAAATGCAGATGATGATGAAGATGATGTTGGTACAGATACATTTCGTGATGATGATTCTTCAAATGGTTCACCCAAATTACCAAATTGTACATCAATTTTATTAATTCCACCATCGAAACGGTCAGAAAAAATCACCGGTTGGTGTGGTATACGTGGTGGTGGTGTTACTTTTGTGTTCATATTTTGCCCAGTAGATTTTGATGATATTATATTCGATTTTTGTTGTTGTTGTTGTCCTATTTGTGGATCACATATTAATGGTTTTAAATCCATTAAAGGTTTAGGTGGTGGAGTATTTTGTTGTTGTGATTGACCAATACCAATAACATTTTTAATCTGACGAGCTGCTTCTACCGGATCAAATTCATTTTTCGATTTTTGTTGAGTATTTAGTTCAGAAACATTATTTACTGTTGATGATGTTGATGATGAATTTTGACCATTGGGTACTAGAAAATTTAAAATAAAATATGATTTTTTTGTTCTTTTTCATTTTTTTATTTTAAAAAGTTAAATAATATTCATTACTTCCAGATGGAATATGAGATGTATTGTTATTGTCTGAATTTGCAGATTGTTCGTCATCTTTTGTTGATCTCGAATAAATTAATGTTTCACCATTCCAATTACCAACATCCCATTGTTGTTGTTTACCATCATTTCGTCGATTTGTATATGATACATCAGTAAAACGTTGTGTCGTATCTGACGTTGTTGAAATATCAATATTTGAATCTTGTGGCTGTTGTTCATATTGATGTTGTTGGTAATTTCTATCATTTCCACGATGACTACCTCGATTAGTGCCACGATAACGACCTCGATAACCACTTCCACCTCGATATCTTTGTTGTGGTATATAATTATCATTTTGTTGTTGTTGATTATTATTTTGAGAATCACCTCCATTTTGTTGCTGTTGAAGTCTCGATCGACCACCACCACCACCACTACCGCGAGATTTTCCTCGATAAGTAGAACCATCTAAGAATAATTTTTTTAAAATGTCTATTATAAATTTTTTTTACCATTGCTTCGTTGTTGTACATTCTCATCTGTTTCTCCTCCATGTCCATTTTTAGTTGATGCAGTCTTTTGTTGTTGTTTTTTAGTCGTTTTATTTGTTGCTGTACGCCATTCACTAGCTACTTCATGACCTTTTTCAATAAGTAATGCAACAGTTCTTTCATAATCATAATCACAATCGAATAGAGCTAACAAAGCATCATCTGGATTGGAATTCGCTACAACATCAAGAACTTTTCGAACAATGTCTTGTACTTCAGGTTGATCATGTTTTTTATCATCAATTAATTGTGCAAGACGAATTTGTTCTGGAGTTGGCTGATATTGTTGCGTGCTTACGGCACCACTGGCCGCTGCGACGCTCATTCTTATATATTAATACACACACACAACACACAATAATACAATGGGAAAAGAAATCGTGTAAAAAAAAACACGAAAAGACTGAAACGTGTTTTTATAGGAAAAAGAGAAATGTTATGTTGGAAGAGAAAGCAGGGAATAGAATAATCTAAAATATAATAAAAGTTTTTTTTTTTGTTATTATTTCTAGATCAAAAATATAAGAAAACAATGAGTAATAATAATTACTATCGTTTAGTTTTCTATTTTCTAATAAGGACAACTCTTTAATTCCACATTTTATCTACTAGACGCCATTTATATTTTACATAGACTTTATATTGATCGTAAAAATAATATAAACAAAAACAAAAAATTTATATTTTTTAATATAGAAAAATTATCTTTTTTTATTTTAAATTTGAAAACTTTTCTTAAATATGATTAGAAGATAATATTAATTTATATTTTGGGAAGAGCTCATGACTTAATGCATGATTGCTTTCAAATGGTGTAGATGTCAGTAATAACATGTAAAAATTCTATAGATTCTTTTCGCCCTTGATCAGTTCAAAATCTCAAAACACTAAAATCTAAGCATATATTTCCTTGAATTAGATTTCTAAGAAAAACTAACGTAATTGTCATAACAATGTAATCAAAGAAGTATTATTTATTTTAAGAAAACTGAAAATGCATACTGTTCTATTATCAACTTAAATTGATGTTAAAGATCAAATCATTCGATCATGAAATAAATTAATAGACATGAACGTTGAGAAAAACAATGAACCTATTATTTATGTGTTTAATTATTGATCTGTCAATATTTTACTCTAGAATAATCTTGTATGTCTGTTAAGACATGTCATCAATATATAAATAATAATCACGTGAATATATATTATTAGAGCAAGAAATGTAAAGCCTAAATAAAAGAAAAGAAGTCATGTAAAAACGGAGCCAGCATTCGTCGGATGGGATGAATTTGGCCATGAGAAACTTTGTGATAAATTAGGTTCATTTGTTGATTTTTTAGCCGATGGTGTTCGAAAACTACCATCATTATGCATCATCCATCGAGCTGGTATTGGTGGTAGAAATGGTGTACGAAGACGAGCTGTATCACCGGATCCACTGCAATTATTGGGCGTTGTTTGCATAACGGCTAATGTTGGACTTGAAAATTCTATAATGTTAGTAAATGATAAAAGGAAAAATATTTGAATAAAATGAAAGATATATAAATTACCAGCCATAACTTCTTCATCAGTACGTGTATCTTGAAGAGTTTGTTTTTCATCTAATGATCGAAGTTGAGTTCTTCTTTTCGGTCGTTTAAAGGTTGGTCGAAATATTCCATCGACAGATAATTGAGGAACTGAAATCCTAAATGTATTTTTTTATTATTATTTTTCAACTAATTCGATGATAGAAAACAAAAAAAACCGAACATACCCGTTGACAAAATTATTAAGTGTATCCATGTCAACATCAAGGGATGGAAGTATTGTTCGAAATCGATCACCTTCACCAAGACCATCTAACGCACGAACAATCAATTGACGAGCTAAATCTCGTTCTACATAAAAAAAAAAAAAAAAATTTACAATATTTTTTGTTTTTTTATTATGAATCCACAAAGTCAACAAAACATGCAATACCTGCGTTGTGTGATGAAGCAAGCCATGTTTGTACAAGAGATATATCATCCGTACCCAAAATTTGACAGAGTACTTGTAGCATCTATATATTTATAGATGATAACAAAAAAAAAAGAATGAAATATCAATTGAAGACAGACCCAAGCTTCTCGTTCATGATCATCAACTTTATAATACCATGCAGGTTTAGCATGTGCTTTAGCAAAGATTCGTTCTCCACGACTTGGTGGTGGTAATGGTTCATTAAAACGAGGTGTTGGACCTGATGATGTTGAAGGAACACTTGTGCGTAAACTACCTGTTGTCGATGGTGGTCCATAAAAATTAGCTAAAGTAGCCGGTTTTTGAATTCGATTAATTTCATTTTGTGTAATAAATCCAAGTGACATTGCCAAATCTCGAAGAGATTTTTTCCATACAGTTTCATCTTCAACTAAAAAATTAATTAAAATATAATATTATACTTATGTAGAATTCTTTAAAAATATTATTCACCTAAACCATGAGGTTGAAAGAAGCCCATATTGTGTGGTTGAAAATCTTCAGTGGGTTTCAAACCAAGTAAATTGAATTTAGGAACAAAATTACGTTTACGAGGAAGAAATACTAATTGTCGTTCACGAGCTCGATAAGGACGAGATGGATCTAATCAATAAAATGTATGTTATAATATGAAACATAATTAGAATATTCAATAGCAATTTAATTGATTGATCATAATATAAATTTAATTTTTCTTTTATACAAAAATTCTAAACAAAATGTATACCTTCATGATCATCGGTATTGTTAATAGGTGCTCTATGAGTAGATTCATTATTGGATGTATTGTTATTTTGAATCGTTGGTCGACCAGTTCCAGTAGGCAAATGATCAAGAATATTTTGCCAACTGGTCATGACTACAAAAAAATACAATGTAACGAATGCAAAGGAAAAAATTGATGTTGTATGTGAATGAATGTGTGCATGGTAAAAAGAAAACAACATCAACGTTGACATCAAGCAATCTAATCCCATTCGGTATGCTATCAGCAACAATCAACTACACAGCAACCAATAACTAAAGAAAACAGAATCTATTGAAAAATGACTAGTGCGTACTTTATCAGTTATAAAAAATTATAATTTTATTTATAAATAGAATTTGATTGATTAAAGTAAACTCAGTATTTTAATATCATTTTCATCATGTTCTAGTTCATTTTTATTTTGCATGTTGTTTTTTTCTCTGTTGATCATATGTTGATATTTTCATTAAGTCAACATGAAATCGTCCTTGAACAATACTCTTCATCAATGAAATATCGCTTAGAAGACGTTGATCGTTTTTGACATATATGTTCAATCATATAATGAGGGCTTATTATGTTGGCATCAAAACAAGCCAAGCAAAATATTGCGTTTTGCTACTAAAAATAACAACAAAGATCTTTCTTTTTTGACTATGATAGAAAATATATCTTATTATCATTCATTGTCATCATCAATGAAAAATAATGATCAGTAAAAAAAAAAATGTGAAATTCAGCACTTGATTTATGCTTGCTGTTATTCCAACATTGTGCTACATGTTTTGAAATAAATGAATAAGAAAAAACAAAAATGATGTAAACAATAGGCAATAAATATATGAATGATTCATACAAAAACTCGTATGTCAAAAAAGAATGCTAGTAAAGAAAACTAATTTATACTTATGATATATCAAAAGTATGGAGATTGATATTACACTAAAATGCAAGTAGTTTGAGAAAAAATGCTGTCAATATACATATATAGTATTAAGAGTGCTCTACATATTTGTATTATAGCAATATTAGTCTAGTGATATTATCATATGAAAAATTTCAATGAAAACTTTGAAACCTTATTTTTAAATGAATAAGGAAAATTTTCATATCTGCATTACGGTGCGTCCTGCACTTGACATTCAACCGAAATCAATTCATGATAAATTATATTTTCTTTTTCGGTGATCAAGTTCCATTGTATAATACAGTTATCAAATAGTCAAAATGATTTTAAGAAGGACAAGAGGATATTGAAGATCAACTACGAGTTGGTCGCCCTTGCCTTGTTGATGATGATCCTCATCTTACGATTGATAAATACGACTGACGATAACTTACTGACTGATACTTAACGAGCCGAACGGATTCTAGTTTGTCAAGAAAATTTGGCGAAATATGAGCAAGAAATATGGTGATTATATGCTGTAGTGACAGGTGACGAGTCATAGTTTCATCATAGATAAATTGATCGACAATCATCGAATGCTGTCTGAACATCAGTTGGAGGAACTTAATCTACTGTAGTTCGATATACAGTTGCTTTGCTTTAAAAACCCTATTTTGCATCACTTTCAAAAGAAATGGTCTTGCGTTAATTCATCATGTTGATCAAGGAGAAACCATCAATCATTAATCTGATACGCATGACATAAAACTTCATCATGACAATGCAAAGCCATATGTGCATAGAGATGTTTCAAACTATCTCGAGTCGGAAGATATCCAACTCATTCGACAATCATCATACTCTCTAGATCTGGCACCCTGTGATTTTTTGATTATTCGGCCTTATCAAAGCAACTCGCAATCCTTTCACCATGCTGTAACGAAGATCGTGAACTCGATCAATACAAACGAATATAGAACACTTTCGATATACGGCTAGAACGAATTCAGTTTTGTGTAAACACTCAGAGCAACTACTTTGAACATTTAATTAAATAAAATTTCGAACAACTTGTTTCTGTATTTTTTTTTCTTGAAAACCTCGTTACATTTAGTATGTTGTAGGTATAATCAAAGAAATGAAATGTTTTTAAAATAAGTACAATGAAGTATTAGCAAATGGAAACATAATCATCGAGGCCGAAAAAATCAGTTGATGATCTAATTTGACAACTATACTATTCGAATAAACTTTTGCTTAAAGCTTTAAAACATGGTTAACATATAACAATAGATAAGAATGTCATGTGCACAATGATTCGACAGATTTTGAAATTGAGAAAATATCAGATACATTCTTGATGTTTTTTAGATTTGAATTTTATGTTTCTCATTTAGTACGGTATCAGACAAAAGCTCCTCCCCTGTAAATTTCAACTTCCATTCATACAGAAGGCCTAACCATTTGTGTGCACATACTTCACTAAGAATGTAAATCCAAGGCTTGAGGTCACTTCGATAGCTTAAATGCACCGAGAATTATGATAGACGGCGCCTATTTTTGCTTCAAATTTTGTAACCTAAAAAAGCTGTCTATTAAATTTTGCGTTATTGCTTATCAAATACATGACTAGTTCTTCATATTTCTATTTGCAGCTGAAATCCAGTATATAGTCTTTCGCCACTCAAAAGATCATCTAATTTAATGCAAGATTGCTGTCTCTAGATCTCTTTGAGTCCTCAACATCAACATGATGATTATTAGCACACCATTTCCCTTTAAAAGAAGGCTCTTTGCTAAGATTTGTAGGGAATAATGTTCAACTACAGACAGAGTTTCCCTAAAAGTTTGAGCTCGGTTCATTGAAGTATTACTGAGTTATTGGCTACAAAGAACGTCAGAAAGTTTCTCGTCCCTCGACTAGTCACAGTAAAATGGTCACCATTCTAGCAAGAGTTTATAGGCTTTGATGAAATTAACTGCAAGGATAGCTAGAATAGAGTCGTAAAAAGTAAGAGACTAGCTCACTCATAAAACATTTTCTTTTCATAAGTATAATATTCAAAGGAAAAATAAGTGCTATCCATTATCATTCATCATAATTCCCGTTGAGTTTAAGCAATTGAGATAAGTTGATGGCTCAGATCTACATTCTTGATGGATTATGTACACACAAATTTTTAGACCTCTAGTATCTATGGCAGGTGAGATCTGGTAGAAGGTAACTTTTGTTCACTACTCAATTGTGCATGAGAAAAATACTTCAATCAAAATTGCTCTTTTTTTTCCGATTATCCCATCTATATTTTATAGAAAACTGACATAAAACAGAGGAAAATATTGCTCTTTCTTTTGAGCCAAAATTAACAAATGCTGCATAAAAGTAGATTATTCAATTGTGATGTTGTCATATTCGTATTATCAATACTCTCTGTTATCGGCATATTCCTAATTCATTCCTCATCGACTCATCCCTCCTTAATTATTTCCAAATTCGGCCCCTGTTTTACTTTATCTTCTGAAGATCTTTTCAGTCCGTCCCCTGGCGCTTTTTCTCGAATTCGTCTCACAATTAAATTAGCGCTTAATTTTTATACTCATACATACCTAATGTAGTTTTATTGAATATGGAAGACAATTTTTATCATAACGTCAAAAAATAAACATCAACATTTTTTTTTGTTTTGCAAGTATAAGAAAGAACAAAAAAACAATATACAATTATAAGAGAAAAATTTTAGTTAATATCAAAAGACAAGCCATTATATGGCATAACTAGTCTTAACAGCTTTACCATATTTAATTGTTAAACCCATCTTACTGATTTGTTCATCAGAAAACTATTTAAGCGATTGTTGGAGAAGCAAGTCTAGATCGTTATTTCGTTTTCTCCTCTGACGTTGTGTCAACTGTTAAATAAAGTGGGGATGAGTTCGGAATCAATTAAACGCGAATTTTATACGATAAGGACGAATTTAGAACAAAACTTTTGGGATCACAATTGGAATCAATTAAAAAGAGAGCAAATTGGACTTAAACCTTGTTATCAATCGAAAAAGTTCTAATGAAAATTAAATGTTTTCTTTTGTTAAGAAATATCTATACTGATTGGCTTTCTTACATCAACGATTATGAATTGTTTTATTAGTTATTCATAAATCTCTGCAAATTCATTTACCCTTCGCAGAGATGTCCTGAATGCAAGGGTGACTTTCCTAGTCTTGAAAATTTTCGTTTTTCCCCAGCGAACCTGAACAATTCATTTCTCTTTGTTGTTTTGCTTACCAATCTCTGAACAAGGGCCAACTCTTTCCCTCTCAATCGCTGACATGACTAAGTGACTACATTATATGATGCGTATCCAATGAGTGCTGTGTTCAAAATTCGGTACCGCTAGTTATATAATGATCCTGAACAAGTCACTAACGGCTGTTTGTCTCGAATTACTCGTCTGATAGTATGCTGACTAAGTTGCAACATACATCTGCTCTCATGACCCATATGTGGTTAGTCAATGTGTACGGAAAATTCAAACGATTGAGCGGAAGAACTCTGCGTCAGACCAAGCCTTCTGTTAGGAACTACAGCTATTATGATTAGTTGTAGGAAGGATATCGGGCTAATGAATCTGACGCTAGATAGCATCTTATACCGCAAATTAGCTGAAATTCAGGGATGTTCTTCGTTCTCCAAATCTTGGTGACCTCGAGATACCCTTGATCATGTGTTGGTTACATATCTTATCAATTAAACCATAAAGCATTTAAGGAGTCTGGATGACAAAAGCAATATTTCTCTTTTCACAAAATAGTCCCTATATATGTCTCCTGATGATGAATGAAGAACACAATAACAACAAAACTAATAAATATATATATATATATATATAGTATATAAATACTCACAAACAAGCAAACAAAAAAAGAGAAAAAAAAATGCGATAATTTGTTTTTTTTTCTATTCAATAATAATTCTTTATTGCTGCTATACGATAGTCGTTGTTGCCTCATTGGATGAAGTTTTTGTATTAATTGAAGTTTTTTTTGATGATGGTTCATCATCATTATCTACTTGATCAAATGATCGTTTCGTTGTTGTTGTTGTTGTTGTTGTTGTTGTAGTCTCGTGTTGATGAATAGTTACAATGGAGATTGAAGAATTCGATGATAATGGTGCATGAAGTTTAAAATCATTGGAAAGAAAAGAAGTTGAATTTGTTGAATCAACTACACCGGATGCAGTACATAAGTGTTGTTCTTGTTCTTCGATAAATTTTTCAATAATATCACTAAAATTTATAATAAAATATATACAATTGAAAGCATTAAGCAATGCTTATATAAGATAGATTCATTTTGGAAGTTTTCTAATATATTGAATCGATTTTTAAATCATCTAAATTCGACCTTACATTAAAGCTCGTCCAATTGATTCTAGTCTACATGCTTAAAATCAACAGTTTAATACAATGAAAATAAAGAACTATTTTTTCTTATTAAGAAAACGATATATAATAAAGAAAAACAAAAAAAAACTCAAATCTGTATAGATACTGAAAGTAATAACTTTGTTAATTTAAAACTTTCATAGTTATTTACCTAACAGAAGTAAGTGAATTAATACGTTGTTGTTCTTCAATGAACAAGTAATATCGTTCACTTTTTTTCCATTGATAATAAAAATGAACTGTTTCACGAACAGATCGATTTAAACACTCAAAAAAAAATCAATTCGAACATTCTATCTTGTCAATAACAAATGATGATAATACTTACTTTATAGATAGAAATTTTAAAAAAATTCTTTCCATATTCACGTAAACCTTCTTCAAATTTTTCTATTTCAGCTAGTGACCATGCAGGATAGGAATCTAAAGTATAGTTTTTTTTTCTTTTGTTTAAATGATAATATAGGAAAGAAAGAAATTCATACAAATAGTTTTATTGGGTAGTTGACGAAATTTAACAAGTGCTAATTCAGTATTTAATTGACAATTCAAAAGAGTTTGAAGAGATATTTCATCATCTGATGATGGATCTTTACAACAACAAAAAAAACCAATATGAAATTGTAATACAAAAATAAAAAACAATAGGAATAAAAATATATTTACATTCGGTATGAATTATTTTAAGATATTTATCAATATTTTCATTGTCACTATCATTCACAGATGATGATGACCAAAGTAATTCATCAACCGGTACTAAATAAATATAAATAATATTTTATTTCGAATATAGACAAAAAAAAAGCAAGATTAATAGTACCAATATCTAAAATTCTAATTTTATCAAGAGAAGATTCAGAAATAGACAAACACAAATTTTTATTGTTATAAAAAAAGTTCCTATTGATAATCGACTGATTATAATAAGACTTTTCCTTTAATGGAGCGATAAATTAGTTTGTTTATTCTGTAAACAAATAGATGCAGGTTGTTTTTTTTTTAAATCAAAATCTGAGTTTTAATAGAAGAATGTTAAACAAAATATTCTACATAGGATGCGAACTAGATATGACTGGTACCTAAAATTACAAACAAAATACGTTAGTTTTATTCATGCTTAATGCATAGCTCG